CCGACCGCACTGGGGCCAATCGGTCTCAGTGGTGTCTAACGACATAGAAATTATCGGTCGGGGACAGAGAAAAACAAAAAAATTCCCGAACATAAAAAAAATACCGACGAACTGAGAACCTCCACCTTTTTTTGAAGACGGTTAAAAGTAGATAGGTAGTTTATCACAGTATGTGATTTGAATAATTTTTTTATTAATTTAAATTTTATTATTTTCTATATCGACTTTAGCTATTAAAACACATACATAACAACACTAAACAACAACATAACAGCACTAATTTTTATGAGCAGAAACAAAAAAAACCCTGCCCCCCAGGGAAAACCCACAAAGATAAACATACAAATGGAAAGAAAGGGATAGAAGCATTAGAATTGTCTAATAAAAGAACGAGACTTTTCCAAAAGACATCAACGTGAGACTCAACTCTCCGCTAGGAGTAATAGTGTTATGTGGACTCAACCGAGTCGTTATTTTACCCAGCCACCATTTTAAATTGAACCCTGTAATGGCTCATAATCTGATTTAATCAAAAATAATTTTTGTTTTTTTTTTACTTACCGATTAAAAGTTATTCCATCCTTTTTGTAACTAGATGTCTTGGAATGCTTCCCACACCATTTCACCGCGCATTTTGATAAGTTATAATTGCGTAAAAAGTTATAAAATTTAGCGTGCACACAGGTCTAACACTTGGACAGTAATAAAATAGTTACTAGTACCGTAGCCTATACATAGGCGATAAACAAAGAGATTTAAATATATAATAACTATATAGCGGACATTGGGAACATTTGCATACAAAAACTGTGAGCACGCGCGTGTGTTAAGCCCTCTAGCGAAAAATAGCAATACTACGCTGAATATTTATTTGGAAAACATTTTAGCTATTTCCCATTAGGTGATGCTTCTAAATACAAGGTTAAAATCGGTTTTAGGCACGTTGTCAATTACTTACATATTTGTAAATAAATAGTGACGTTACTGGATAACAGAGGGCACTTATATTTTTCCTTTCTTCTAGAACAATTCACCAGAAATAATAAAATTTAAAGATTATTTTGTAAATATACATTATTCTTAGGATAATAAACGAAAATCATGTAAAATTTTTGCTCCATATCGTGATTTACTATACCTTAATTCACAACCAGGCATATTTTCTTTAAAAATATTTTTCAAATTTATGAAACGAATGCGTCTTGACCTTTCGGTGATGTCACTTAGACTAAATGACAAAAATCGGAGATATATCCTATAGGACAAAAGTTACAGACGACAATTTTGTTTGAGTCCGTATTCTTAAAGGATAGCAATAAACGCTGAGCGAAATCGTCGTTAATTTTTTGCTCCATATCGTGATTTACTATACCTTAATGCACACACCAGGCATATTTTCTTTAAAAATATTTTTCAAAAGTACATTTATGAAACGAATGTGTCTTGACCTACTGCAATTCGGTGATGTCACTTAGACTATCCAATGACAAACGAAAATCGGAGATATATCCTATAGGAACAAAAGTTATTATCAGACGACAATTTTGTAAAGGTGCTGATGTCCGGAAAATCTATTACTACTTCTGTACATGAAACTTAAATATCTTTGGCGACAAAATACTAATAGTTTTCGAGCGTCGGGGCATTGTATGCGCAGTCAAGTGGTTATATAGGTCTTTGGTCCTGAACCAAGACGAAGCGCTCGCTTTAAATTACACAGTACGCGAGCAACTCGGGTTCGATCGCCGCCGGCACCAACGAAATTATTATCCAGTCCCAAATGTAGAAAACTAAGATTTTACAGGTTGGCAATGGCTAAGCTGAACGGTCTTCTATCTGGAACAGTTAAATATATTGTCAATTTTTAAGTTTTATTAGGTATGGCAAGTTACAGAAATTATTATATGGCTATATAAACAGTTTACTGTGGGCAGATTGAATATGAATGAGCAGTCTTACTGGAATTTAACACAAGTTTAGCATTGTGAAAGGAGATCAAAATCTATCCAAATGAAATATCTTGGTACTGCAATAGCATCACAAAATCTTTTGATTAGGTTAGGGGGGTATGTGAATAACTGTTATTTTATTGCGAGACAAGAAAAAAATGTATATGAGGCCACCCTCAACTTTAACATCCAAGATATGGAGTGTAGAAGTAAGGAGTACCAACTCCCATAGTATAATAGTTGAAAAAGTGGCCATCTGTAAGCAGTAAATAACAGTTCAAAAACTCTCCACAACAGCGCTGGAGTAGCTACTGGGATGAAATGAACTTAGCAGTTGTCGACGGTTTAAGTGTGCTGCTAAACTACTCAGTAGCTCTAAAATCTAAAATAATTTTATTTAGTGTTGACTTTGATTTTATTTATAGGAATTTAGAGAAATCAAACCACACTCGTTGTACCATAGAATAATAGAGAGAGTTTTTTATTTTATAGAGCTGTCAGACTACATTGACCATTGATTGTCGTATGTCAGTTAAACATCGGCTAAAAAAAGGCGACAAATTTAAAATTAGTTTAACACTCCTGCCAAATTTAAGCCTTCTATGTACTAAATTATTACAGCAGAAATAAAGTAAACAAACATAGGTACATACTTGTTTAGAAGATTACATAACATATATTTGGATAACATTCCAATTTGGTCTCTCATATATTGAAATTTATCTCTAGGTAAAGCCTTAGTTAGAAAGTCAGCAAGTTGATTGCATGTTGAAACATATTTTAAATCAATAACTTTAGCATAATACTTTTCCTTTATAAAATGATACTTAGTCTATATGTTTGCACCTCTTGTGAAAGTTAACAATTTTAATAACACTTATTGCACTTTGATTTTCTATATTTCTCACTATTGTTTGTTGCTCAAATTCACCAAGATCACATAATAACTGTTTGATCCAAATAGCCTCTTTGGTGGCACCACATGCGGCCATAAATTCCGCTTCTGTAGTCGATAAAGCGACAGTGTGTTGCCTTTGACTACACCATGTTACAGCAGCTCCACATTTGAAGAAAATGTATCCAGTTGTTGACCTTCTAGTAGTGAGGTCATTAGCATAGTCAGCATCACTATTACCAACTAATTCAGAAGATTTTGCTGAATGATAGCATAGGCCAAAGTTGATAGTGTCTTTGAGATACTTTAGAATCTTCTTGACGGCTGTCCAGTGAGACTCATCATAGCAATTCAAAAATCTTCTCACCAAGCTCACAACGAACATTATGTCTGGTCGGCTTACTATGGCAACATGCATTAGAGAACCAACAGCTTCTCTATAAGGAAGATTCTTGTCAGGCTGGTGCTCACTCTTCTCCAGCTTTGAGTGAGGGTCAACTGGAACACTGTTGGGGTTGGCATTATCCATATTAAATTTATTTAGCAACTGTTTGATATATTTGGATTGATGTATAAAGATATATTTGTCTGAAACTTGGATATCCATTCCAACAAAGTTTCCAGGTGGGCATATTGTCATATCAAATATTGTTTTCAAATCATTTGTTACAGACTGCAGAGCAGATTTTGATTTAGAAAATAGGAGCCCGTCGTCCACATAAATATAAAGATAACACTTAGTTTCTTTTATATTTGCAACATAAACACATTGGTCTGCTTCGCTATTTATGAAGCCAAATTTCTGAAGTACAGAGTTGAATTTGGTGTTCCAGCACCGTGGTGCTTGTTTAAGACCATACAGTGACTTTATCAATTTACATATTTTATTGGGTCCATGTATTAGACCTTCAGGTGGATACATGTATAATTATGTTTTCTTCTAGTTCTCCATACAGGAAAGCTGTCTTAATGTCAAGTTGAAGAATTTCATAGCCGTTTTTAGCAGCTAGAGATAATAACGTATTGAATCATACCTTACTGTCGGTGAGTATGTTTCCTTATAGTCAATACCTTCTGCCTGTGCACAACCCTTTGCACACAGCCTGGACTTGAAGCGAGGACCCGTTGGTTGGTCTTTAACTCTAAAAACCCATTTACAGCCGATTATGTTTGTATTTGCAGGCTTGTTTACCAATATCCACGTGCCATTTCTTTCATGGTCTTCAAGTTCTTCTTCAATTGACTTTTTCCATTTTTCAGCATTCATACAATTGATAGCTTTTTTGTATGATTCAGGGACTTGCTCAGGCTTTAAGGATTCATCATAGCAAAGGTAAGTTTGTTCTTTATTCTTATTTCTAGGTCTCAAAGTTATGTTACTTCGCGGCGGAGTATCAATCTTCATTTCTGGTAAGTATTCTTCTAAATCCAAGTTATTTTTAACAGTATCATATGAGCTATCTGAGTTATAAGATTTTTCCTTGCTTTCTTCATTGGACTCATTTGACATTAAGCTTTCATTATTACTTTTACTATGTGTATCTAATGTTTTGTTTTCTGTTTCAGATAATTCCAGAGCTGCATAGTTCCTCTTAACGGTGGATTCAAGAAATACAGCATCCCTGCTCTTGATAATAGTTCTTATGTTTGGTAATATGAATCTGTACCCTTTTGTGTTCTCGCAATAGCCAATGAAGATCATTTTCTGTGATTTTGGGTCCCACTTCTTGCGTTTTTCTTTTGGTAAGTGGACCATGGCCTCACACCCGAACACCTTCATATTACTGATATTTGGCTTATGTCTTGTCCAAACCTCTTCAGGTGTTTTAAACTAATCCAACTCCAAATCCAAAAAACTAATCCAAGATATTACGACACGCTGGAACAGTAAATTTCATATGATGACCAGAATGCTAAAATTGTCCGATGAACTGGCACTAGTATGCCGAAAAGTAAATTAGTCGTCAGAATTCCTCAATTCTTCTGAAGAAAAAATTGTCAAAGACGTGGTAAATGTTTTAGGTATATTCGAAGACGCAACTACATTAGTGAGTGTTGACAAAAACCCAACGAGTTCTTTAGTGATTCCCGTAATTTACGGATTATTTGAAAACCTCAACACCATCGAAATATCACTGGAGACAGATGTAGGCAAGATGTTCTGCTCAGCAGTACGGCGTAACATGAGCAGCAGATTGTTGGCCTACGAAACAAGAACTGTGTCACAAATTTCTACATATTTGCATCCGACCTTAAGGACCGGCTTTCGTCAACCTGAAAATATGTTATCTGCTAAAGACCAGGTGAGGCGGGAGTTGGGGAGTCTGATACTGGACTCCAATAATAAAACTGATGCCACATACTCTGATTCAATACCTACGACTGAGCAGGTGGCAATAAAGAAGCCGGGAATTTTGGACTTCTTAAAACAAAGAAGGACTGAGACTGGTGTTCTAAATGCGACTGCTTCTGCAGTAAACATACTGCGCATATATGTGGAAACCGAGATTGACCCTAGGCGAGAAGACAAACATACAGAAGTCGCTGGCACTTACTGGAAAACAAAAAATATATTTGGCGCCGCTTAATAACATGGCTTTAAAATATCTGTCAGTGCCAGCGACTTCAATACCTTCGGAACGAATGTTTTCAACTTCCGGCTATTTCTTATCATCACAAAGGAACAGGTTGCTAGGTGATGCAGTAGATCAACTTTGTTTCGTCCACCAAAATTATGATTTAATTATTTAACTAAAAATAAAAATAAGTTTTTTTATTGAATAAAGTTTAATAAGTTTCAAAAATCTCAATTTTTTCATTGTCTTATGGATCCTAAAAACCTAAGAAAACCGGTTTTTTAAAATTACTAATCGGTTTATACCGGTGCTGAAAGTTGTAATCGGTTGACATCGCTAGTCTGTACTCTGTTTTAAAAAAAATAAGCAACAAGGATATAATTATCAGAAAGAGATAACAATAGTATAGTTTGTATGATCTATTAATCTATTTATAGTGCTATCCTACTCTAACATACGATGTTAAACCACGTATTGTTTTTAAGTCACCATCCATTCCACTTTCGCCTTCGGACTTTGAATGTTTTGCGCTCATTTTTTGCTCCTAATTCTTGACCCTTGCTCGATTATCGGACCTCCGTTTACCGCCTGCTCTATTTTCGACCTCTGCTTGTTTCTTGGACCTGTGATTTGCCTTGACGAAGACCCGTGCTCGAATACCGGACCACCGATTTGCCCTACGAAGACCCCTGCACGTTTTCTTGGACTTTGCCTACCTGTCTGTCTACCTGAGAGACCCAAGATGGCCGACGACTCTACGCCGTCAACTAGTTCGGCCGGTCCGTCGAACGCAAGCGACGCCGCCGCAACGGATGTAGTACCCTTCGCGGAGCTTTATGGTGATTTTGTGCGCAGGCGTTTATATGTGGAAGAAGGAGCTAAATTTTTTAATTTACCCCGAATCGTGCGAGAACTCGGTACCAGAGTACAGTGTGTGGAGTTTGCCATTGAAAATGGCTTAATCCCTGCCACTAAGGAGTGCCGCACCCATAGAGTGCCAATGAAAGTGGTATATGGGCAAAATAAAAATGTGGGCTCTTTTGTTTGCAATAAAGGAAATTGCAGAGCCCGATCCAGGGTAGCTCGTGGCAAGGGCACCTGGTTTGAAAATATTAAAATGTCATTGCCACGGGTATTCTATCTGATGTATTGTTATGCGCATCGCTGGAGCTATGAAGATGCAATCCACGAAGACCCAGAAAAAGATATAGAGGGAGGCTGCTTATCTATGGCGACTGTCTGCGATTGGTACAATTACTGCCGGGAGACAGTCGTCATTTACCAAATAGAGCAACAAGAGGCCATCGGCAAGATTGGTGGCCCAGGAAAAGTAGTCCAAATAGACGAGTCAAAATTTGGAAAACGGAAATATAATAAAGGTAATTTGATTTTCTTATATTACAGACTGAAACAATATATGTATTTATAATAATAATATAATGATAATTAAATTTATTTCAGACCTACATATAGTCCATAATATGTTAGTAAATTAGCTTAACCTATGTTAGTCTTAAATTATTACACATTATTTATTTTAAAGTTTACTTTTGAACCCAAATTATCTTTTAATACCTTTTATTAAATATATTTGAATACCTTTTAAAGCCAAAATATCTGGAAGAAATCAGTTTCAGAGTGATAAGACAGCCTGTTGTACATATTCTGCTATAAAATTTTGTACTTTTGTATTTTTTTTTTTTTGTAATTTTGTACTATTGGGTTTTGGTGTACACTGTACAATATAGAGTAAATAAATATCTTGAATATTTACTGACTCTAAATTGTTTATTGTTGATTTTAGGAAGGCAGATTGAGGGCCACTGGATCCTCGGCCTCATTGAGGATGGAAGTGAGGATTTACGACTAGAGGTGTGCCCTGAAAACAACAGGTCAGCGGACATACTAGTGCCCCTAATTAAAAAACATGTGGTTGAGGGCACCACAATCCATACCGACTTCTGGAGGGCTTATGATTGTTTGGGGCAACATGGGTACATTCACAAGAAGGTGAACCATTCAGATCCTGAGAACCCATTTGTTGCCCCTGATGGCACTCATACTCAAAGAATCGAATCGCATTGGCGGGTAGTTAAAAGATTTTTCAGTAAATACAATTATAACCACCCGGAAAACTTTTCAGACATTATTATAGAATATTTGTGGAGAAGGTCAGTGCAAAGAAAAAAAAAAGGATCCTTTTATGGAACTAATTAAAGTAATTAAACCATGTATATAAATAAATGTTTTTATAATATTATATTTGGTCATTTTTTTTGATCAAACCCTAGTACCAGAAGGTATAAATCACAACCGAATCTGACAACCCCAACTTCCACGTGGTCTTTCCGCTCTTACCCCTAGAGTGTATATGAAAATCCGGAAGCGCGGAGGGAATGCAGCCCTCGCCCGCTGTAACTAAGCGCAGGCAGCGTACGAGCCGTAGCGGCTGAGGCTGGTCGCCGAAGGCGACCAAACAGCCGAAGCTGCGCAGGTGAGCTAGGTGCCTGTGCTTAGTTACGCAAGGGCGAAAGGGTTGCACTTCCCGCAGCGCTGGAGCAGAAGCAGAGTCAAAATAGTGTTAATTCCCACCGTTTTTCCCATCCTAAATACTGCCACATTCCCACCGCGGGACCCGAATGTGAGTTTTTCGTCGCCGGACGCCCTTTTTTTATTAAACGAAAGCGAATTTTCCTTAAATGTAACAAAACTTTAAAAATTCATAAAAAAAAGGGGGGGTTTCCGGCACTTTTTCCTTTCAGGGGGAGGTTCCTCCCCCTCCCCCCTCTACCCCACCCACTCGGCGACCATATATTCATGCAGCAGATTACTAAAGAAAACCCTATTCCAGAGCTCTCAATGGCAAGGATCATTGGTTTGTAATGGTCAGGTAGCCCGGAGAGTAAAAGTGTCCCGAGCCACTCATCATCAACTTGGAATCCTATATTTCTGAGCTTATGTGCTGTAGACATTATCTTGCTCACGTATTCATCTATGTTTTGGCAATCAGAGAGTGTAGTAGTGCAGAGATCACGTAGTAGGCCAACTCTGCGTGTAAGCCCAGAGTCGTCGAAAGCGTGGGATAAGTTTTCCCACACTTCTTTCGCCGTTTCTGCCTCTTGGATGTGTACGTAACTGATACTATCGACAAGTAAAATTATCTTAGATTTGGCTTTTGTGTCCTTCTTTGCGTCGAATGGTTCATTGTTGGGATTTTCTATACATTCCCAAAGTTCTTCATGTTGAAGGTATGTTTTCACAGTAAACCGCCAGGTTTATATTTGTAGTTTTCAGTTTTCAGAGGATTGCTGCTAGCCATGATCACTGGGATTTGGAAAACTGAACCGCGAAGCTTGGAGGTTATGTCGACGACACAATGTCGCTTCACAGGTACAAGTTATTTTTAACTTTTACTTGTTATTCCAATGAACTTCACAATCGCTTTTCTTTATAACTTTGGCTTTACTGGGCCCATAACCTGTTGACTTTGATTTTATTTATAGGATTTTAGAGAAATCAAACCACACTCGTTGTACCATAGATAAATAAATATGTAGCAAGCGTTGTACCATAGAATAATAGTTTTTTATTTTATAGAGCTGTCATAGACTACATTGACCATTGATTGTCATAGGTCAGTTAAACATCGGCTAAGAAAAGGCGGCAAACCCTTTACTTTACTTTTACCCCGTAGCTATAGTGACGCCACCCTTATTTAACGGTTTTCTATGGACACTTTTTAATACACAGTTTGTCCTCCTTACCTCTACACTCCATAACCCAAGAGTTTTTATATCACAATGAATAGCAAGAAAATAGAATATTTTATATTCAATATAGATTACAAGTGTACTTACCAGTGGTAAAAGCATTAGTGATGCGACGGAAGTGTCATATCGGAAACAGACACGGATGCGGAAACGGAAATACTACTTATTAAAAAAATTACAAATAAAACCTTTAATTAACGTACAAAATTGAGTAGCGGCATGGTATATTTTATGAAAAGTAGTACGGCTGCTTTTACACGTAACAAACTGTTCCAGTGTTCTTCATATGTAAGTCCAGCTCCGCTAAATAATTGCTCACTGGCGATGCTGCGTATACACCAAAGCTAAATGGCACTGCAATATGGGCAGACCCTTTAAAGAGTCGCATTTACGTTAAGCGAGTAGGTAACTTAGTACAACCCTAGCACGAAATTACGACGTAAACGAACTTTGAATCCAAAATAGTGTCTTTAAAATAATAAATATAAACTACAAGTAAAAAATAAATAATATAAACTTCACGTAAAAAATAATTAATATAAACTTTACGTTAACCTTAACTGCTGCCTAATAAATTTTACAAATCTTCGTAGAAAACACTTTTTAACGAAAAACGGGGTTTAACTATAACATGGGAATACATTTTACAAATAAATAGGTATGCAATTGACCAATTGAAAAACCTTGACTGACCGTTTGTTTTTAATTTGCGATGAAAGTTTTACAGTTTCAACTAATTTTTCAAACTGGAAACTCTTCGGTGTGTATCGCTTTAAGATGGCTTTTTAAAGCGGTAGTTGTGCGTTCTTTTCGCGAGTGTAATATTTTGTCACATAATTTACATCTGGCTGCTAAATCATCAATCTCAACATAATAGTTCCAAACATAACTCTTTCTTTTTTGGCTTCATGATTGCATTTTAACACACACGACCAAATACAAACAAAACAAAATACGCACTTACACTCATGTCACTCCGTATAATAAAGTTAAAAAAGTATGTAAACTCGTTGGTACCAGTGCGGAAAACGTACTCGTTGGTACCAGTGCCGAAAGCACGTGCCCAGCTCACTTGTGATTGGCTGAAACGACCCCCCCCCCCTCCTCCTCCGCCCCTCCTCTACTAATGTGGCTGCTGTGTCACTGAGTTCCGTTCAAACTTCCGTTATAAAACTTGCGGAAACGGAAGCAGAAACGGATTTCAAAAACCATGCAGAACTTCCGCAGTTGCGGAAACAGAAT